TAATATACTTTAATGAAACAATAATAATAGTACATAAATAATCATGGCAGTGATGAATCATCATACACCAAAATAGACAATTAACACAAAGTTACACAATTAGGTACAAAACAACTCATTTGATAGGTACGTTTAGATAATAGCGATTGAATTATTAAAAATACAGAAAAGGTGTGAAATGTAAAGAAATTATAGAAAGGTAAAATTGTTAACATACTTGCGTCATTGAAAAAGGTTTAACCGTAAAGTGACTTTTTAACAGTATTTTAAAAATTCTATTAGTGCGCACGTTCGCTACTAGGTATGAATGCTACTTGGATTTGGTGGCGTTGATTCAAACAAACTTTTTAGAGCGACAGCAAAAATACTAACTTCGGGAGGTGTCTTAGATTAAAAAATTCCTCCAAACTCTACAAATTGAATGCGGCAAATTTGAAAACAATACCCATATTTACATTATTTATAATAGGTAATTCGTAAACGATTAGGTATATTGTGCTTGGTACAACATTCTCGTTATATAGCTACTTGTCCACTTTTGTAACAACAAATTCATAAAGCATTTATATTTAAGATAAGGCATAAGATGGTGTTACAAGAATAGTCTTAAAACAACTACGATGGACAAGTTACTGAAGATTACCGCAACACTTGAGTTTGTACTAATATGATTTTGTAATACAGTTTAATGAGAGATACATCGTGTATTATTTTGGCGTGAGTACAACGAAAGGTTAAATGAACTTCATTTGTAAGGGATGTGTCTTACACACAAATTGAGAGACATGATTACATTACAGTTGCACCTCGTCATTCGTCCAAAGCGAATTCCCCATGCATTTTTATGATTCAGTTTTCATCTTGACGAAAGAATTCATTCTGAATGGACGCTCTGAATTGTAATGCACTATACCTTTCTGACCATTCCGTATGTGGAACGCCGCAATATCTAATTATCTTAAAAGTGTCTTTAGCAACCGTCCAGAAATTTAGCGAGTAGGATATTCTCAAATGTCTCGAAGATATTAGAAGTGCTGGTATTTATAAATACCTACTATCATGAGATCTTTTAGAAATAACCAATAGAAATCTAGGTTTATTGTGCGTCGCTAACCAACGAAACCATACCTTTGTTTCTATTGGCTATTTTTTAATTATCTAATGATAGTGCACTAATGATAATGATTGCATAAACTCACCATTAGAAACAAAAATTTTATATCGGGCCAAAGATATTTAATAGATGTTGCTATTCAAAAGAAAAACGGCGTTCCGGATTGCAGTTTCTAATGGCCTAGAAAGGGCAGTCAAAAAGGTTAGGTAACTTAGAAGGCGTACTGCGGTATTTCTTATTTAAAATTGCTTTCCAAATATGTAAATGAAAGATAGGTACTCGAACACATTACAAAATTTTCGCAAGATACATTCCGCTGAAGCATTTAGATACAAATTACGACCTTTTTTGCTTTGTAAAAAAACATTTACGTCTGTTTATACCTAAAGTGATAAAAAACATTTTGTTTACATCGTCTTTTATTAGGAGTATGTCATTGGCTGTTTTTTAAAGTAAATCGACAATCCATAGAAAATGACTGAAAGCGGGTTCGTGAAGTTAGCAGAACATTGTCGGCACAAATTTCGAGACTAGGTGGATTGGTTAGTGCTACGTTTGTGCCGTAAAAAGTTTGCCATCAAAACATACCGTTTGAAAATTATTTCGATTTTTAGAAGTTCTGCTAGTAGGCCAGTCATTGAGGATTTTTACCTGGAAATAACTCGGAAAGTACTGAAATGTATGTATGTATGTTTGAGTGAGTAGAACTAACATTCATAAAATGCACAATTCGAAACTTGCCGCCGGGGCCGCCATCTTACCAAGATGGCCGTCAAAAGTGGTTTTCCGCCGATATCTCCAAAACTGCGCATTTTACGAGAAATATGTGGTGAGCGAAATTAAAGAGACGAAAATTTCCTACAGAAAATGTAGTTGGCATATTTTCACTAAAGTTAGCCCTTACGCAGAAAAGCAGAAATTTTTAATAACCAGTGGCGTATATTCTATCCAAATAATTCATTAATCATTTAATGAAATAATACAATTGATTAATTAATTAGTCTATGACCAATTAATTTTAAGTAACATTAGATTATTTATTTACGCAGGCCTGAAGGACCTGGCGGTTCGTTAATGTCACTGTTTTCAATGCCGAATACTTTTATCCCTATTTCGGGATCAACGTCGGCTTCTTTGAATTCGTCGGATTCTCCTTCTTCAGTCGATAAAGGAATATTGATCCATATTACACAAATTCCGTTTGTGCCGGTTTGTGTTGTATAAAGTTTGCCGGGATACCCTTTGGAAGTTATTTCGATTTTTAGATGTCTGTAGATGTTCTACTAACTTCGCACACTTTTGTCGGCACAAATTTCGAGACTAGATGGATTGGTTAGTGCTACGTTTGTGCCGGTTTGTGGGGTAAAAAGTTTGCCAGCAAAGCATTGCCTTTGAAGGTTATCTCAATTTTTAGATGTTCTGGAAACCTTGTACACTTTTGTGGCTATACTGTTGAAACTAAGTATAATGTTAATGTACCGCATGGGTTAATGCTATCTTTATGCCGGAATGTATGGTAAAAAGTTTGACCAAAAAAAGGACTGTGTGAAAATTAGCATCTGTCTGTGGTGTACTTAGTCATTCGTGCGATTGGGTCTCCAAATGGTAAAGAACTCAGGGGATAACTGTTATATAAGTCCAAATCTGCTAAATTCGATTGCACTACATGAAATAGATAAGAATCCCTAAGTTCCGCCGTTGTATATACAAGATAAGTGTACGGAGTCAGGAAAAAATATATCGGACCTAATCTCATGGAACACCTTGTATATTTTAATCTAAAAAAGTAGCATATTAAATATTTTATTTTATTTTTGCTACCAACCCAACCCACTACCCTACATTTACAAAAATCTATGCCCGAACGCCGATTCGAATCAGGGACCCATAGTACCGCACTCCAGCCCATGAATTGCGCCACACGGCCTGGTAAAAATATAACACACCATGAATGATACTGGTTTTCTATGCGATTTTTTAAAACTTTATTACTAAGTCACAGTAGGCTATGAAAAACAAATCTTTTATTTCGTTCTCAAGTTTCTATAATTTTTTTATTTACTTTCTTGCGCCAGACTCTTTGTCTGTTAAAATGTTTCCAGCTACAATGTCAAAACAGTTTAGTTTCTAGATCAGTTTTTGTGTGATATCGCCTACTGTGGTTTAAAGTAGTATATAAAGTGTATATAAATCGCATATATCATCTATGATATTACTTTTCCGCACCCATATATGGGTAAGTAAAGTATTGTTTTCATCACAGAAAAAAGTCCGTTGTCGTTGTCCGGGTTGTTTTTAGCACGATAACTCAAAATTTAATGGGACAAATTGCGTATATTTTTTCAGTCCTTGCCGCGTGGAGACGGCACCTATTAATTTGGAAATTAATACTGGTAGGCAGTATTCTTCTGCGCATGCGCAAAAGTAACTTTGTTACTTATGGACCGAGCTTACTGAAATTTTAACATTAGCGTCCTTTACTAAAGGCAATAAATCGATCGATTATCTCAAACATATCAAACGCTTCTTTCGCGCATGTGCAAAAGTAAATTTCTTATTTGTTGACAAATTTTTGTGAAATTTTAACGGAAAATCAAATTGAACATCCATGTAGTTAATTGCCACATCGATTAGATATGTACTTCGCTCAATAAAAGGCGAAGCGATGCATGAGAAGTAAATACAATAAAAGGAAAGTGCTGGGTCTCAACAGATGCTACCGTGCGGAAAAGTTAAGTTTTGAAAAAACACATTTTTTGATATTGATATTGAAATTGATTAAAGAACAACTTGAAATGCTCATTTAAAAGCCTGAAACTGGAATCCAAACCGTAAGGTTTTTTTGCCGGTGCGGACTACAGCATTGAACAGCAAAATAGCCGTACTTAAGACGACTAATATACCGAAGGTAATGGGATTTTGAAAATAACGGGCAAATGCTTTGAAAGAATTATCTGGAATTTTTTTACTGTCATTTTTAATTCATAGTCTATCATGGAAAGTGTTTATTCTGACCATTCCATGCTATAGTAATTTATTTTAGAGATTTTACTCCATAGAACAATAACTTCAAGGCAGTATTTTATTATTATTAATGGAAAAAAGAAGTTTTCCTTTGAAGTGACTGTGAGGTGGCGCCGCCTAACGAAGGTAACCAAAAGTAAGTGCTAAGTGGTCGTCATTAGGGATAGAAAGAGAAACAGTGGCGATTGGTTTTCTTGCGTGGGAGCGTGATGGTGTAGTTAGAGCTGCATATCAATTAGTCACGTGCAAGGTCACGTGCTATAGGTATGGCGTCTTAACGTAAAATTAACATAAATAATCACATACCAAACAAATAAAGTCCATAATGCTGGCTTAAAGGGATTGAATACAACAATATAACAGATTGATTTAACTAATAAAATTTGAAAATGGACATGTCTATCACCATTGAAGATGGCGGCGACTAAAATAAAATTTTAAAATTAATTGAGCAGAGACTAATTGATTAATCAATTTGATTAATTAATTAAATGATTAATGAATTATTTGGATAAAATATACGCCATCTGGTTATTAAAAATTTCTGCGTAAGGGCTAACTTTAGCGAAAATATGCTAACTACATTTTTTGTAGTAAATTTTTGTCTCTTTAATTTTGCTCACCACATGTTTTCTCGTAAAACGCGCAGTTTTCGAGATATCGGCGGAAAACCGCTTTTGACGGCCATCTTGGTAAGATGGCGGCCCCGGCGGCAAGTTTCGAATTGTGCATTTTATGAATTTTAGTTCTACGCACTCAAGCATACAAAATTTCAGTACTTCCTGAGTTATTTCCAGGTAAACATCCTCAATGACTGGCCCATTAGCAGAACCTCTAAAAAATGAAATAGTTTCCAAACGGTGTTTTGCTGGCAAACTTTTTACAGCAAAAACCGGCACAAACGTAGCACTAACCAATCCACCTAGTCTCGACATTTGTGCCGTCAATGTTCTGCTAACTTCACGGACCGACTGAAAGCCACCCTTATTTGTCACTGCGATCTAGTGAGGAGCATGGATTGTATTGAACTATTGCAATAATAACATACCTTTTTTTATATTATAATATAGAATTATAGATAAACGAGTTTAATTGAAAGACGCCGCGCCCAAAAAATTGAGCTATGTCATTATCACCATATTTAATGTGGACAGATTAGCAAAAACGCGAGAAAAAGGCGTCACCGAGATATATAAATTCGTCGTCGAAAATTTTTCGGGCGTTTTCGCGAAAAATACTTGCTCGATACGATTTGCGAAAATAGATAATAGAAAACATTTCGACGTTGCGTACGCATAATACAAATTAGTGGTGAGAGTTTGAACGGATTTGTTCAAAAAAAACTTCGCCAAGTCCACAAAACCTTCGAAGTCGCAGGAGTTTCGTATTATGCATAGTGCAAGGAACACGAATACTGTTACGCGTAATACGAAAAATATATTCTTCTGTTGACCAATGTTGATGAGTTCATCCTCATGCATGTGCCGCGAAGATGTACTCCAGATGTTTCTAAACCCCACACACGGCCATGAGGAGGAAGCCCTGGATCAGTCGATTTCGTGGTTGTCCATAAAGTGAGTACGCACTTCTAGATGAGCCGCTAGGTCGAGCACTAAGTGTTGAAGCGATGGATGTTCGAGTAGTTCCGCTTCTGGCAAAGGAGGCTGGCAACGAGGACGGTATTGGCGACTTTTGAACGCTCGGTGAAGATGCAGCACCACGTCACAAAATACATATCGAAGTAAAACGAGACGTAGAAAATCATCTCCGAAGAATTGTAAATACGATGGTTCTAAACACAACAAATTTCGTTACTAGACATCTAAATTGTCTCGCAGCATAAAAGAAGCATAATCTAAATCAAAGGTAAAGCTCGAGCGACCTCCCCCCTCGGACAGATTTTGGTGGCGGCTTAAAATAAAGTGTCGCTAATTACAACATTGAGTTAGAAGTGCATTGTGCCAAATGAACGACAGCTACCCCAAAACATACCTTCGTCATACTCACCGACTCGCGAGCGCGTAAAAAGACGAGAGGCTTCAGTTACGAATCGATCTACGAAACTTTGACATCGTTCCCAATGATGTATTGGAATGTTTGTGAGATTACAACAGTAACAGAAGGCAGTCAAGGGTGAGTGCAGGAACAAGGTGAACAGCGAACCGTTGTGTTGCTGATCTGAAATGCAAAAAGTCAAAATTAGTCTCCACCATCTTCCCTTTGTTAACTTATACAGAAATGAGCCACGAAATAACAAGAATTGCGTTTTAAAACGCCCATTAACGTTTTTAGTATCCTTCATTCACAAAGGATAATTTACGGTTTAGCAACTATCACGTTAAATACGAACAATAGTGGAAATATTAACTTATACCTAAAGATAGCAACGGCCTGACATTAAATAAGGTTTATTTGTAGGACCGGAAATAATTACGATGAATATGAACAATAACGGAAGTTTTAAACGCGTGAATCTAAGGTTGGCGACTTTCAAATTCGAAAGATAACTCACGAATTGGAAATTATTACAATGGGAATAGCGTAAATTTGTAAACGCATAGAATGGACCAGAAATAAAACTATATGTCGAGCCTGAAACATTAGTAAATTAGTTTGCACAGCGATGTCATGAATCCAAAGTGCACCAAATGTTGAAACTCAATCTGATTGGGCATTCGAATAACATTTAAATTTGTTAAAACTGTGTAACGTTTTATCTTGCTTGAGTTTAAAAATTCAACAATTTTGCCATTTAAATATAGATACCTCTTACGTCAGCGGTATAGTCTTTTTTTGTAAAATATATGTAATTAGATTGTTGGTATAGAATTTCACTTCGTAGTTCCTTATTCTACCACTAGAGGTCACGCAAAGTATCTTTCATTAACCATACTTGGGCACTTTGTTTATACAGGGCGATAGTAAGATTCAGGATTCAACCGCAACCGGTGAAAAATTTAAGACGATTAATCAGTTCTTTTGCTGGCTGTTAAAACCGTAAGTGTAGAAGGGGGCGCTCCCGCACTGCGGAACATTGGTAAAATTATTCCAGTGCGTAAACAAAATTTCAACTGCTAAATTTCGAGAAACCTGAATCTCAGTTTGTTCCTGATTTAAATGGTCTACCCCAATTACGTCAATATATTTTAATTTTAAGATTATAAGTGGAAATAAAGAACCAACTTTCTTAAGGTAAGAGTCATCAAAAGTTGATTTATTACTGAGCTAGCCGTGGAATTAATTATTTTAGTACAAAGAATTAATTGTTACGGTAAATTTTTACCAGTACCGTAGAGATTAAAATTTATTTTATGAAAGTGTTGCTTTCAAATCTAACTAAGGCGTTACAAGACCGTTGCTCGCTATCAGATTTAACATGTCTTGGGATAGACCACCAAATTTCATTGTATGTTTAATCGATTATAGCACTATCGGTAGAAGATGTGTATATCATCATAATAAAATCATAATTAAGTTCCCATGGTTCTACATTTTTTTTTGATTTTGTCTGTGGGCGAGTGGTCCTGAAATACGGTCTTGTCTTTTTAAATGCGTGTGAAAGTTTGAGGCGCCGAGAAGTCGGGATAAATAAGGAGATTAGCTAGAATTACGGGACGACTTTACAAGGGTCACATATAGCGTGTGAATTGCTGATTGGGCAGGATTCCACTCCACTTAGAGTTTAGTTATTGGTGTCAAGGGTTCTGATTGGACGGAAACTTTATTGGTGGAAAAAGTGTGTCAAAAAGAAAAGTAGTGGGAATTTTGTTGTCCAGAAAGGGCCGTCATGTAATTGAATTTGAGCAGCGAGGCAATTCTCGTTAACCCGCTTGAGACAATTACCGCGAAGCTGTCGAAGTTAAGTAGATCACCCGCGGGTAATCGTGGGGTAGTTTTTATTTTGTGTGGGAACAGCTCGCGTGCAACCGCGAACGAACTTAAGTTAGTCAATTGGAGTTTATCGCAGGGTGGATTTTATGTGTGTTATTTTAATTTGTGCGGAGTCATCGTAGTGAAGTGGAACACCTGCCGTAGAAATTGCGTGCGGTTTCAGTAGCGATATGCATACGAACAATACCGTAAAGTTTTAAAATGCCCATTAACGTTTTTAGTATCCTTCATTCACAAAGGATAATCTACGGTTTAGCAACTATCACGTTAAATACGAACAATAGTGGAAACATGATACCAACGGCCTGGCATTAAAAAAAGTTTATTTGTAAGACAGGAAATAATTACGATAAATACGAACAATAACGGAAGTTTTACACGCGTGAATCTAAGTTTGGCGATTTTCAAATTCGAAAAGTAACTCACGAATTGGAAATTATTACAATGGAAATAGCGTAAACTGGAACAGAAATAAAACTACCTACATGTCGTAATTCATCGCCCGTCTGCGGTGCTCTATTTGTGCGTAATTTTTTAAAAATGACTAACATTTACAGTCGGAATACTTTTGCTATTTCTTGTTTTGAATCACCGTATTTAAGCTTTAATTTCAAATCAAAGTAGCGATTCATTTACGAGTCCTAACGAAGCACCCGTTTTCGTACAGGAATTATACCAGTTTTTATGAACGCACCATACATGGACGGAAAATACCAGCTTTAATTAACAACCGGTAATTTGAAGAATTCAAGCGGGCACTTCCATACCAGAAATTGTAGTTCCGGACCTATTTATTGCTTTTCTAGGAGTGAGAAGCAAAAGGTAAAAGTAATTCTTTAATTTGTAGCACGGTTTTAGCCGCCGTAAGTAATACCAGCTGCTGTAGATAATTGTTAAGTTTCTAATTGTTCCCGTACATATTTTGGAAGCAAGAGAAGAATTTTATATCAGCTTAGTTAATTATTAACTGATTTTAGTTTCCCAACATATGCAGCAAACACGAGCATTAAAGCTGCAATTTCGTGCAGTTTATTTAATTATCGTTAGACCTTTTGCGATTGATCCGAAATTCCATGTAACAATGGGCATTGCTTGAGTTTAAAAATTTAACAATTACATCTTACGTCAGCTGTATAGTTTTTCTGTAAATTAGATGTAGTTAGATTGTTGGTATAAAATTTTACTTCGTAGTTCCTTATTCTGCCACTAGAGGTCACGCTAAGTATCTTTCTGTTAAAGTCACTAGATATAGAAAGTACCGCAATCATCCGCCATTTTGGGTAAATTTGCTGCCAACTTAAAAAAATTGACAAATAAAATCTGAATAGCTGTCATTTTTCATAACCTAACTTCATAGTACTGTCATGTTTTATAAAAATATATACAGATATCTCCAAACAGGTGGAACAATCCCTAACATTAAAGTTTAAATTCCGCCATTTTTGGGCAAAAATCATGCGTTCTCTCTCTAACACTAACACAGGAGCCCAATGGATTGCGGTACTTTCTATATTTAGTGACTTTACTTTCTGTATTTAATTAATTAATTAATTCACTTTTCTTCCTTTGGTCGCTTGCGCAATGCTGATCTTGCAAAGGAATAAGAGCTGTAGTTGTATTGTGACTTGTTAAATACGAGGTTAAATATAATGCCATTTTTACATTGATTTCCTCATTAACTTTTTAAGGGATTTATTGGCCGTTGTAATATTATTGTGAAGTTTCTTTCGTGTAGTATTCCTTTTTCTTCATTGAACACGCCTTTTGCGGATACATTTACAAACATTTAAGCCCAGGGCAAGTGTTTCAAGATTGTGCAATATTTTTTTTAGGGGTTTTAACACCCGCACATTAGTAAAGGTGGTATTTAATTGGGGAAAAAATGACGCCCTCCCCATTTGACAGAAATACACGTTTCGAAGCAGCAGGAAACCGAATCAAACAAAATCTCAGATGTCGGTCTATGGGTTTGTCTGTCTGTACTCATTTCCGGCTAAACGGTTAACTTGATTGGACCTAAATTTAGTACACATATTCCTAGACATAAAAGTAAGAGCTGAAACGCTTTTGGGCAGAACGCACATGAGCAGGTGAAATATATACAACAGAATGGATTGCACCACGTTGAGAAAAATTGCATGAACCCGCTGTTTTGACGTAGCTGTCCAGTGACGTAGTTGTTCCATATAGAAATTATTACACGTCATATTTATTGTTCTTTTATGAACTGTAAGTACACGAGTACGTGATGTTAATAATCCCCCCCCCCCAGGTACGATCATGAAATTAATGAAAATGCTAGAGAGCGCCTTATTTAAGCGTTTTCACAAAAAAAATTGAGAGAGAAGCTTTAAATATTCCACAATATTAATTTTTTCAATCCTGTAAAGGACCCCATATACGGTCAAATCCGTATTTTCAGACCGATCGAAATGACGAATTGATAGTGTATGTTAAGATCGTTAACGATTCACCTAATCGAAGGGGGCAAGTCACCCACTGGGACAGAAAAGGCGTTCGAAGTTAATCGGCGGTCTCTAACAAAGATGCGGTCTATGTAAGATGCAAAATATGTCCCTTCTCCTTTTGAATGATAATGCGGTCGATATTAGTCACCGGCTGATACGGAGGAGGCGTTCGAAGGTTAATAGGCGGTCACTAACTAAGAGGCGGTCTGTGGAAGATACGAAAGATGTCCCTTCCCCTATCGAATGATAAGGCTGTCGGTGCTAGTCACCGGCTGATACGGAGGAAATTTCAATTGCGATTTTTAGTATTCGAATACCCGAGTTGTATCAAACGTTAATATTGGTCTCGCACATTTTATACCGCGCTATCAATACCCCACTCTTTCGTTTTTGTGTATGTAAACACAGATCACTAGTAAAACTTTTAAAATTAAAATGATATTTACCTTGAAAAGCAGGTGGAGTATCTTGAGGGGACATGAGAGTAACCAATGGTTGCCCAAAGTAACGTGGAATGTGTTGGAAAACAAAACTATTATCCGAATCAACTATAACAAAGAGAGGTCTCCTAGTGAACGGGTACAAATCACCAGGATAAAGGCAGTGTGATTCTTTCTGTTTCTTGTGATCTCCATCTCTTCTTCCACTGGTCAGCACTCCACCAAGATCGTACCCCACTACGAAACGTTACGGTAAGCGTGGCAACACGAAAAAACGTAACTTACTATCTTCGGGGTGCTTTGTCGTGGAAAAGCATCCATCTGAAGAAATGTACAACAAAAGAGCACCATTTGCCGGCAATTCTTTAAATCCACTAGCTAAAAATACTAAAACTTGACTCAAGCTCGGCTTGTACAGAAGGTATTTGTGTGGGTTGTCCCTTCTATTCGGTCTTTCGCCATTTTCCATATATCTAGAAGCACTGAAATGAAGTTTTGCTTAGATTTTGGATATTAGACAAAAGGGGGATTTAGGAAGATCTCTCTGCTTCGGGGAAAGTGTTAAGTGATTACCCTTTGGAACCAGGAACCGCGTACGGATTCCTACCAGTCGCCGGCGACGCGTCATACACGTGGTTGTAATCCTCCTGCGGTTCCCTTTCGAGCGTCTGTATCATTCGAAACATGTCCATCGTTAACTCAGAAAACTTGACTTGCTCCGACGCGCTACCGACTATTAAAATTTCTTGCAAAGTTAACGTCATGTATTGATTTTTTTCTACAGGCGGTGTGGTTAGTGGGCTTAATCTGAAAGACGATTTAAACGCCGAGAACAAACGGGGGCTTGCTAACCTATGAGATAAAACGATGGGATTCGTATCTGCATGCATGACGGAAACCAATCCGTCGGCGGTCACAAAACCCTTTATTTCGTCCAGAACTAAACTCCATTCGATTTGGTCATCTGGTTCATAAGTGCTTGTATACTCGGCGATATGTCTATCTAATTCTACTATTAATTCTCTAACTAATTTCATCCTTCTCAGCAATAAGCAAACGACTATAAATCTTGCGTAGTATCTTAGTTTCTTAACCATCAGCTCCGATCTGGAACATCACTTTTCTTTTAATAGGAAGATTTTTATTAGATTTTATTTACGTACCTGTCCTCTTTTGACGCTCTCGAATAATACGCTCTACCTCTGATGGCCGCGTAAAACGAATACGCCTCGTTCAAATAATTTGTTTCGCTAGTTCTTAAACTGAAAAAAAATCAGAATTAGTAAACTAAAATCATTTGGGAGTTAGAGGGCAGTTTATTCGAAAATGTTCTTATTTGCTCTTTCTGTAAAGTCTCCCAATGAATTCGGCTCTCAATATTCTTCCATGTTTACCGGATGCGTCACTGGCCGGTTAATCGCTTGGAAAAGGTTACATGCGACAGTCTGACGGACGATAACGCAATTTTTTACGTCACCAAAATAGTTGACTGAGAAATACCCGTAGTGATGCCACGATGCAGCGTGTGAAGCGCGAAATCAGAGATCTTGACATCTGGTGGTTTTTGATTACTTGGCCTTGCACGCGCGTGATTGGTTTAGGTAGGTGTAGTATATTGGTTAATGATCAAAGATGGCCGATGTTACCACCATTTTGGGGCGTGTTAAAAAATGAAAAAAAGAGTAGGGAAACGTCTAGGAGAAAGTTTTGGGAGAAAACATTACACGAGTAGCCGTCAATCACTACGGGTGTATGAAGTTCATTTCATTAGATAAGAAGTAATTTCATTTGGATTACGCCACATTGAGCATTCCTTTGGATTTTGCAAACAGTAAGGCCTCCCTGCTACAAAGCAGGAGTTGACGTCGGCAATTTCCCGAATCCTAAATAGAGGGTGATGTAGTTTTCCAACGTTGGACGACCAAATGGGTAGTTTTAGAAGCCGTATGAATAAGGTAAAGTGTATTTTTCTATTTGTTTTTTTATACGGACCGAAGTGCAATGTTTTTAAACCGTAAATAAAAACATTCTATAAAGAGCCAATCCAGTTACCTTGTAACTGTATGAAACGTGTTTCCACTGTATCAGTGTACGACCTCGATTAGAAGAAGGTAAAATAGGTTTCCGTTTAAGTTCAATATTAAGTGCCGGAAGTCTTCTAATTGAGTTAAATATTTAAATTTTAGGTTTACAATTTGTCTGTAAAAAAGCAGATCTTTCGTGTTTTTCCATTGTTCATTTAAGTCGACCAGGATTGATTACTGGTATTGGCAATTTCATATCTGTAAAAAAACTGGGGTTGAGAGCCAAGTTGATTCTCGAGATTGGAGTGCAAAGATTGTGTACTGTAAGACTATTTTAGGAAATTTCATCTCTAGTTATTTGGAGTAGATACTTCTGTAACCGAAAGAAAAACCGAAACCGAAAAAAACCCAAAATGGCGCGTAAGTGTCGCAAGTGTGCGGAGCCTGTTACGCGTTCCGAAGATTTTATACAATGTCTAGGCAAATGCTTAAGCTGTTTCCACGCAAAATGTGTTGGATTAAGTGAGAGTGATCTAAATTTTCTAAAAACCAGTGGCGAAATCGTGGGATGGTGTTGTGATAGTTGCAAGGTTCGGAATGAACCCCCATCGGCATGTGCCTCCACTGAAACGACCGATCCCGTAAGTAATGCCACTGGTATAAACTCTAATATTGCTCATTTAATACAACTAAGTATCGAAAATGCTTTCAACAAAATTATTCTACCCGAAATTACTGCATTAAAACATAACATGCAGTCCATTATCAATGAAAACACGAACCTTAAACTTGAACTTGCTAATCTCAAGGCGAAATTTAATAAACAAACATCTACATCGTATGCTTCAACGGTATCTGCTGGAAATGCCAGCTCTAACATAAATAAAGGAGCTATCCCAAAGATTAATACTGCAACCGAGATGACTACTCAATTAATTAGACCTCCATCCGTGGCCAAAACCTGCAGTGCTGTCCAAGTACCCGCCGCTACTAAATATCTGCCTCCAAATGCTTTAACTCTACCACCGCCACCACAAAATGCCAAATCTGTGGTAAATACTAGAACCATCGATGGCGATGGAGACTTCATAGAGGTTACCAAACGAAGGAAGCCAAAGAAGCCGCTTATTGAAGGATCAGCAGTTGGAATAAATTTAAAAGGAGTAAAATCCTTCTCTCACCTCCATGTCTACAATTTAGATCCTACAGTAACGGTTGAACAAGTTATTGAACATTTAAAAAGTCACGATTTTGATGAAGTCAAATGTGTCAAACTTAATTCGAAGCGGCCAGATGAGTACAGTTCTTTTCATGTGTCAGTGCCAAGTGAGTTATTTGAAACCCTGAAATCGCCCCACATATGGCCTAAAGGTGCACGAATGAACCATTTTTTATTCCGACTAGCCACCAATCTTCCAAAAACCTAACTCCTAAGATCTCCTCCTGCAGTAAAACCTCATTGCTATTTTTGTTGAATGTCCAAAGTATTAACAACAAAGTAAATAATCTTGAAGTGCTACTGAAAGACAGTCAACCATTACTACTCTGTCTTACTGAAACTTGGACCCATAGTGATCAAATCGATAATATACACATTGACAACTATTCGTTATCGAACTCATTCAGTAGATCTACTGCAAGGGGCGGTGGCTGTGCGATATGGCATCGTTTCGACACGATTGTATACCCAATTGACGTAACACCGTTCTCCGTTGAAAGAGTTTTTGAAGTGTGTTGCATTAAGTGGCATTACAAGAACATACAAATTAATGTTGTAAATATTTATCGCCCTCCGGGCAGTAATTATCACACATTTATTCACCAGCTGAATTTGATGTTAAATCTATTACACTCCTCATCGTCGTTTTTATTGCTGACCGGCGACTTCAATATTAACTTCGAGTGCCATGATGAGAAGTACACAGAACTTAGGAATGTATTACAATCCTTCAATTTGAGAATCATTGTGGAGTCGGCCACTAGGGTTACACAAAAATCTCACACAGCCATTGACAACATCTGCACTAATCTACCTTTTACGCTCTGTTATGAACTACTTGATGTCCATTTTTCCGATCATAAACTGATAAAAATCTGTGATGCGTCTGGAACTTCTGTGCAGTGCCCTACCACCTTCTTGTATAAGAGAATATACTCTGACAATAACATGCATCGGTTTTTAGAACTTCTTACAAGCGAATCTTGGGAGAACGTTTTCGAAACAGAAAATGTCAACGATAAATTCAATAATTTCTTTGCCACTTTTTTACACTACTATATGGTTTGATTTCCACTCAAAAAACGTCCGATGACACTCCGAACAAAGCCATGGATTACTCGTGAAATAATATCTTCAAACCAAAAGCTAAACGACCTGTACATACTACAAAAAATGTATCCTGGTCTGAAACACCGATTTGTGGCACTGAAAGCAGCCCATAGGATTTTATTGAGAAACACAAAATTCAATTACTTCAACTCCAAGATAATGGGAGCCAGGAAAAATATTAGCAAGACGACTTGGAAAATAATCAATTCACTCACAAATCAGCGTACCAGTATTCACCAAAATATGTCCCTCAATATTGAACAATCAGTGATCGAGTCTCCCACGAAATTGGCAAACTTGTTTAATGAATTTTTCCAGACAACACCCACCAACCTAGTTGAATCTATTCCTAAGTCAGATTTCCCTCAAGCTCACATTAAAAATCATGCAAATTCCTTTTACCTATTCCCATATGCCGAGTGCGAAGTATCAGACCTCTTTAATAAACTAAATAACAACAGCTCTCCTGGCGCTGACGGTATTGCTCCTCATATACTTAAACAAGCAAAACAACCTCTTACGAAGATAGTAACTCATCTTATCAACGCATCGTTTGCGTCTGGAATATTTCCATTGTGTCTTAAAAAGTCCGTCATAATCCCTATTTTTAAAAAAGGAGACGCCTCTAGCATTTCTAATTATAGACCGATTGCTCTTAGTTCTTGCATTGGCAAACTACTGGAGCATGCTATGCTACAACGAATATCAACATATTTCGATAAACACGAATTAATCTCCGATAAACAGCATGGGTTTAGATTAGGAATGTCAACCATTACAGCGAACTTGGAACTTTACAACAATATAGTTGTCGACCTAGAAAATAAAACAGCTCCTATAGGAATCTTTTACGACCTCAGCAGAGCGTTCGACTCCGTTAACCACGATCTCCTAACTTTAAAACTGAAGAAGTATGGTATTAGAGGAATCCCGCTTTATTGGTTCGCCTCCTACTTATCTGGCAGATCTCAATTCGTACGAATACCGCATTTCTCTAAAGACTGACGAGTAAATTATCACTCCAAAGAGCTACCTATCAGAATTGGAGTACCGCAAGGAGCGATCCTATCTCCCTTCTTATTTTCGTTGTATATTAACGATCTAATTACATACCTCCCCATCAACGCAGTCACTCTTTATGCAGATGACACGACCGTCCTCGTCAGCAGCAGCCAAGGCAACATTGAAAAGGACTCCAATACCATCTCAAATGCCATGTTCAAATGGTGTACAGGAAACCAACTAATCTTAAATAGAGAAAAAACGAAATATACACGCTTTCATTCCTCAACGTCACATCAGAGTGTCCAACAATTATCCCTGAATATTGCAGGGTCAGGAATCGAATACCAGGAGAACATTAAAATTCTAGGCATCACCTTCTCCCATGATCTCAAATGGAAGTTGCACATCGAAGCTATCAGTCGAACTATCTCTAAATCTATTTATAAGCTCAGATTCCTCAGAGACGCAGTTGGCATCCCGGCACTAAAAGCTGTTTACACTGCAGATGTTGAATCCCGATTGCGTTATGGTATTATCATTTGGGGACCCAGTCCTCATGTTAATCGGGCACTACTTTACCAAAAACGTGCGATCAGAGCGATCTTCAAAGTGGCAAGTCGTACCTCATGCAGGGATCTGTTTGTCGATCTAGGCGTTCTGACTGTTATCTCTCTGTATATCCTAGAAGCCGCCACATATGTACACAAACGCAAAAGAAATTTGATTCTTGAAAACAACGTAGCACATAAATATGATACAAGATGTAACAATGTAAGACCCCCTCAACATAGACTTGCTCTCACTGCGAACAGCACGCGTTGCATGCCGATTAAAGTATATAATCACCTACCCGCCACATTGAAGATCCATCACGTCAATCTTTTTAAGAAGAAGGTCATGAATA